AAGCTAGATTGGTAGCAAAAGGATACACTCAAAGGCAAGGTGTTGACTATGAGGAAACCTTTTCGCCAGTCGCGATGCTGAAGTCCATTAGGATTTTGCTGGCCATAGCTGCGTGGTACGACTACGAGATATGGCAAATGGATGTGAAGACCGCCTTCCTTAATGGAGACATTGAGGAAGAAATCTACATGGCGCAGCCGGAAGGCTTCATATCTTCTGGAAATGAGCAAAAGGTTTGCAAGCTCCAGCGATCCATTTATGGATTGAAGCAAGCATCCCGTAGTTGGAACATTAGGTTCGACTCAACTATCAAAGAGTTTGATTTTGAGAAGAATCCGGAGGAACCTTGTGTATACAAGAAGGTTAGTGGGAGGGCAGTGATATTTTTAGTGCTTTACGTTGATGACATTCTACTCATTGGGAATGACGTAGGAATGCTGCAACAAACGAAAGCATGGTTGTCCACACGTTTCTCAATGAAGGATTTGGGAGAAGCATCTTATGTATTAGGAATACGCATCTATAGAGATAGAGCAAGAAAGATGCTTGGCTTATCCCAAAGCCTGTACATAGACACCGTTATGAGACGGTTTAGCATGGAAGAATCCAAGAAGGGATTCTTGCCAATGTCCCATGGGGTTCGTCTCTCGAAATCTATGTGTCCCCAAACACCTAGTGAAATCGAAGAGATGAAAATGACGCCCTATGCTTCTGCCATAGGAAGCATAATGTATGGCATGCTATGTACGAGACCCGATATTGCGTATGCTGTGAATGTCACAAGCAGATATCAGTCTAACCCCGGCCCGGCTCACTGGAAAGCCGTGAAAGATATCCTCAAGTACTTGCGAAGAGCTAAGGATATATTTTTGGTCTATGGGGGTGCCGAGTTGAAATTAGAGGGTTTCACTGACTCTAGTTTTCAATCGGACGTGGACGACTCAAAGTCGAATTCTGGATTTATATTCACGCTTAATGGTGGTGCCGTGTGTTGGAAGAGTTCCAAGCAAAGCACGACGGCCGATTCCACTACCGAAGCGGAATACATTGCAGCGTCTGAAGCTGCAAAGGAAGGGACTTGGATAAGGAAATTCATCCAAGAGTTGGGTGTCATTCCTGATGCTAGTGATCCAGTACCGTTGTACTGTGATAACACCGGAGCCGTGGCGCAAGCTAAGGAGCCACGATCTCATCAGAAGTCAAAGCATATTCTGAGGAAGTATCACGTGATCCGAGAGATCATTGATAGAGGTGAAGTTAAGGTTGAACGAGTCACCTCGGAAGAGAACGTTGCAGACCCCTTCACGAAGCCTTTACCAAGATCGGTCCATGAGAAACATCGAGAGTCGATGGGATTGCGATTTATGGGTAGTTGGCTTTAGGTCAAGTGGGAGATTGTTAGAGTAGGTGACCAACAAGCCAACATGTGGCTGTGGTCTTTCGTATTTATTATTGTAATAAACGAACCTTTATTCGTATTAATGATAAAACACCTTGGCATTCTATATCTTTGTCCCTTTGTCACAAGCATAGATATAGTCCTTACAGTTATTACAAGTACTAGTAATTGATCGTTAGGATCGTGAGATATTTACTTAAGTATTATAACTGTTAAACGTGTTCCTAGTCGAAGGGTTACGCCACTAATGAGGATATCGGCCTTTCCCATTAAGACTAGCACTTAGTGTATGTGTACTACATCTCATCAGTAAACGGTATTGTGATATCGGCATGCATAAGTGGGTGCTCGTAAGTTGACGAGTTCACTGAACTCCCTCACCCTAGAAATCTCTAAGTGGTTCCCAATAATCGAGTAGAGATATCTATGGTATAGTTGTACACCATTAGTCCTTATGACCTAGACATCACCGTGACTTCACTAGAGGACCAGCTGTATCGTGACCTGTCCCTGAGTTCCACCGAGGACCATCCCAAGGGCCAGTGTTCGTGCAGTCCGAAATCTAGTGGGAGGTCTGTGCATTGTAGTCGGGGATTCGATCGCTAGAATAGTCTTGGATGTCCTGTGTGTTCTGAAAGTTTGTAATCATTCTAAGTCTCTGGCCAGAGCTGACAAAGTGATGATTAGAGAATTCGATTCTCTAAGTCATGCACGTGACGATTACAACACTTGGAACGATCGCACCGTCATCGAACATATAAAGAGGTCTCGATGAACCAATGCCTCTAGTTCGATCGGGACATATGTATCGAAGGGACCGTACTGTACGTTAACTATATCTGAAGGTTCTTGCTGGCACTTCATTTGTATCTAGGGAATCATGACGCGTAGTTGCTAGACGCCAATCTTGATTCGCTGGGTGATTGAGGTGAAACGAGCTTCATCTTAATCGTAACTCGAAGGGGACGAGTTTTGACCACAAAGGGTTGTGGGCCCACGGCTAGCTTACACCTGAACCATCGAGGGTCACACTGCTCGTGCACATGAGATCTTTGAATAAACGGTCAGAGATAAAATAGTTTATCTTTGCATGATTGGAAGTCAATACGATTGGGTCCAACGTTCGTAATTTGGAATTATGAATGAGAATAAGAAAAGGAAAAGAGTAGGCGAACGTATTAGTGAACTTTCTAAATCGGGAAGTTTCCAAATTTAGAAAGTGCACTGAACTAGGGTTTCCACTTTTGGAAAGTTGGAAAACGAGAGTTGGCACTCGTAATGACGAGGACATTATAATGGTTCCGAAAATGTAATCGTTACAATTTTCCGATCATTGAATTGAGAGAGACGAGCAAGTAAAGGAACTAACGAGCTTAAGCTGTTGGGCCCAGTCCAACTTAAGCCCGTTAGGTTTTATGCAAGGGACTATAAATACATGATTTATAGACCTTGCACAAAGACCACAAACCCTAACCCTAAAGCGGCCGTCCACCTCTCTCTCTCGCTCTCTCTCTCGCGCGGCCACCTCCGCCGTTGACGCCGCCCCGTCTCCGGAATCGGCCATCCCTTGGCCGATCCCTTTCGGTATTCTTTTCTTCTTTCTTTTCTTCCGTTAATTCTAACTACTTCGTGTCTAGTGCCACGTTTTAGTAGATCGAAGTATACGAGGTGAAATCCGAGAGGAGGAAGACTGTAGATCGAAGAATCGAGGAGCAACGCACGAGCCGAAGCCGCACGCTGCCCCACGCGCCGCCCCGGAAGTCCGCGCGTGAAGTTCACGCGCCGCCGTGGTCAATCCGCCGCTGCTGCCGCTGCACTCCATTGCTGCCCCGATTGTACGGATTGGTTTCCGTAGCAATCTCGACGTACTGTACGCTCCTACCTCACGCTTCAAGAGGTAAACACGCGAAACCCTAGTTTCGATTTGAGTTTTGTTTAAACTATGTATTCATGTTTGTTTCGTATGATTTATGTGATTATGTGTAATCGATTCAAATCAATGCAAGCATGTTATTTGGTTTAAACGCGAGCATGTTAATTGATTTAAATTCGGTTAAATTAATTAGCATGTATGTTGTTTTTAATTTCGCTGGAAGCGCAAAGGTACGCAATTAATTGATTTAATTTGTCGGGCATGTACTATGTGCGTTTTAAACTCGTTTAATTCGCATAAATTTTTGTTTTCCGCTGCGTATGCGTGCCCGAAACCCAACACAAACAACAACAAGAACACTAGATACAAAAGATACAGTGGAGTGTAGAAATAACACTCAACGTTTACGTTTACGTGGATTTTTTTATGGATTAATTTATATTTCTCTTTTCATGCACAAACGTACATGTGAAAAAACATGCGCAAAAGTGCATTCGCAACAACGTCCTTAAAAACACGAACTACAATACTAGGCCTTTAATAAGCATCAACAAACGACAACAAAAACACTAGATAAAAAAGATACAGTGGAGTGTAGAAATAACACTCTACATTTACGTTTTTGTGGATTTTTTTTTGGATTAATTTATATTACTGTTTTAATTGTTGGATTTGGTATCTTATAGGTAGAAATCGAAAATTAGGTGTCCACGAAGCAAAAATAATCAAAGAGTAAGAAAAGAGTTGCAATTAGGAAAATAAAATCAAATTAGAAGAGAGAATCCCTCAACATCTTTGCTAGTGTCCACGAAGTCGAGCATAACTTTCTCATCCGGACTCCAAATACTCTGGTTCCAGCGGAATTACAAAGATATTTCAGCTGGCTACAATTCCTGTCTAATGGCAAATTTCCAAATTCGGACTCGAACATGGTCAAAATTGGATTCCAAAAGCGATCATGAAAATACGTACTACAGTTCGAGGAGATGAATGCGCATCAAGAAACGTGCACAAAAACCCTCGCTAGAAATGATGTGGACATAAGTAAAAGTACAAAAGTATGCATAAAAGTACTCACGCAGAAGTGCATTCGCGAAAAGGATCATGAAAACACAAACTACAATCCTAGGACATTAATACAAATCAACAACATGCACAAACATACTCGCTCAAATGGACATGCACAAACGTACACGTAAAAAAAACATGCGCAAAAGTGCATTCGCAATAACGTTCTTAAAAACACGAACTACAAACTAGAACTTTAATACGCATCAACAAACAACAGCAAAAACACTAGATCAAAAAGATACACTGGAGTGCATAAATAACACTCTACGTTTACGTTTACGTGGATTTTTTTTTTGATTAATTTATATTTCTGTTTGAATTGGTGGATTTCGTATCTTATAGGTACAAATAAAAAATTAGGTGTCTAGGAAGCAAAAATGATCAAAGAGTAAGAAAAGAGTTGCAATTAGGAAAATAAAATCAAATTAGAAGAGAGAATCCCTCAACATCTTTGCTAGTGTCCACGAAGTCGAGCATAACTTTCTCATCCGGACACCAAATAGTCTGGTTCCGGCGGCATTTGTAACACCCTCCATTAAAATTAGTTAAAGAAGAAATATTTTAGTGGACTTTACAAATTTCGAATCAATTTGGACTTTGAGAAATCCAAATTTTAAACTTTAAAAGTATTTCTCTTTGCTTATAATATAACCCACAAATCAAAGTTACGATTTTCATAAAGAGTGCTACCTAAACATCATCGGGGTTTGAAAAGAAAACTTGTAAGACAGCGGAAGGAAAATAAACTTGATTTAAATACCCCCGTTTAATAGACTGGATTCCTAAATCAGAGTAAAATAAAAATCTCCATTTTTACATAAGACCTTTTTATGGACAAAAGTGAAAACATGGATCTTTTACGAAATTCGGGTAAGATGTGCAAGGCCTCAAGGTTCGTGATTCCTCGAACTCCGCTCCGCTGCGCACTCTGATTACTTCGAGAACCTGAAAAGGGGAAAGTCGCATAAAGCGTGAGCCCAACCACTGGCTCAGTAAGAACATTGGCCTGACGATACTCACGCCTCTCTCAACGTGTCTCTCACGTCCTATAAGGGATCTAAAGTCCTCGTCTCTACGTTCTTTTGTATAGGGATAGGCCTAAAGCTTTTACTATATCCTCTATATTCAATTTATTCAATCACATACATGGAAGCACATAACATCACATACGAATACAATACTTTATTCTTCAAATCTAAGAACCACGAAGGAATATTATCATAACACATAGTCGACCATATAGTAGCACAACACATATAAACATATAATGCTGTTTACCTCAATCTCGGTATATTGGACACACAGTCCTCTTTCGTATTATACGGATATAAAATCCTTATATTGCTCGCGGACATAAAGTCCCTTTAGTATCAATTTAACACTTTACGCATATAAATGAAATGCAACAGGAGCCTTATCAGAATCCCAACGTGACTATCTAAACATCAGGTAATATACGACAACACACGGGTCACAAAAGCACATAATTTGCACACAAATCACTTTAATATGCACAGTGACCAAAATGCACGTGAATGCAATGCATGAGAAAAAATGTTTTTCACTTTATCGGATCCGTGGAAAATTAATTTTTGTACTCAAGACATAAACTATAAAGCGTTTCGAGCCCGTTTCTATTGTGGAACAAACCACTCCTTTTGAACTTTTATTGGATACCGGCCCACCGTATCCGATGTTTATTCTGCCAAGTATTTCGTTAATTTTTCATACTTTCAAGAGAACACGTGATATACTTGAGACCTTAATCAATAGTTTAAAAACTCGTTTTCGTTTACCATAAAATCATGAAAAAATTCGTTTCTCGTTTACCATAAAAATCGTGAAAAAATTCGTTTCTCGTTTACCATAAAAATCGTGAAAAACACATTTTCGTTTTCACTAAAAATCGTAAAAAAAATAAAATATCCATTTTCGGTTACCGAATCCGTGAAAAATGAATTTCCATACCTGGCCAAAACTGTTACGAGCCCGTTTCTTTAGTGGGATCAAACCACTCTTTAGCAATATCTGGATACCGACCCACCGTATCCCGTTTATTCACTCAAGCATTTCATTAATTTTCCAAACTTTAAAAAATATGTGCTATGCATGGACATGAATGCTAAGACCAAAATGCTATTACCGTTTAATCACCACAAATAACACACAAATATGTCACAATAAAATAACACAGAGATTTACTAACCACATCCTATCACATAGACTAATTAAATCACACATATGGCACAAATATATACACGGCTGTACACACACACACGGCAATGATATCCAATCAAGCGTAGCACAATAAATACGAATCACGTAAAGATTATTGTTCATCCACACACACACACATATAGCTGTACACACCCCCACATATATTTGTAATAGTATATTTTATATTTACATAAACCATGGATCGGAGTTTTTACTCGACGACCACGTAGGTTGCTATAGAGATAGTATACATATATAAGCCATGGATCGGGAATTATTCCTACGACCACGCAGGCTAGGATATATAAATATATATTCGTATATATAAAGTATGACATATAGTATATACTATATAGCATTAAGGAGTGTAATTAACCAACAAGTCCACAAGTAATCTCAACCATTTCCAATACTTACCCCCATACGGCACTCACATAATGAATCTCAAACCAACATACCAAATCAATCGAAACACACATAATGACATAAATGAATAATTCATGACCATAACTATAATTAAATTCAACTTATTCTATTTTATTATCTTAATATAACTTAAATTCTTCTATTAACTAAGGATCAAGAATTTAAAACCATACTTCTAAACATATTTTCTAGTTCAAAATAGTTTATTTTAGAAAATCGGACAGTTTTGGTATTTCAACTTTGAAAATTCATATCTCTTAGAACCTATATCCCAAACACCTGAAAATTTCACACGATGTTCATCTATAAGTATATTCTACTTTTTTAAAACAGTTTAGCAAGACACTCAACCGTTTAAGAGAAATAATTAATTTAGTGCAGTCACACAGTCAAATTTCCAGAACAGAGCAATCAACTTTAAAGTTACCAAATAATTCATACCTTTAACCAAACACTGTGAAATTTTGCACAGAAGACTTTTAACAAGTGTATAATCATATACAAGTAAATCGAGCAAGTCAAATTAGTATAAAGTCATGTTAAACACATAATTCATAAATGACTCAGAAACTGTGCAGTTTCAGAAAATGGTTCATAACTTACTCAATATAAATCCGATTTATGCATAATTTATATCAACATGAAGCTAACCAAAATATCTAGACTACCATGAAATTTCATAATTTTATCTTAGGGATTACCCGATGAGACATGCAATAAAATCATAGGCTACGAAACTGAAATTCTATTAGTGCTCATCAAGAACTTTATCTTCTAAAGCCCAAAATTAAAACCACAAACATATAATTCATTAAGACACATATAATTCATATTAATTAATTTATTATTTCAGTAAAGACCAAGAGGTCCTTACCCATGAAGAATCGATGGCGAAGAAGAGAGGGAAATCGAAAGATTGATGAAGCTTGGGCTTGAAACTTTTAAATCTTAGGATGGATGATTTTGTGGTTGTAAAGGGGCTGTTTCTCTGGAGATTTAAGGAGATAAATATTATCTTTTGGAGAGTAATTGAAGTAGGAAAGTATGTGGGATCATCTTGGCTTGAAGTGGGAAACAAATTCCTCCATGTGAAATGTGTGGTCGATGGAAGAGAAGAGAAGGGGAGGTGTGTGCGCTGCCGTAGGAAAAGAGAAGATGGAGGGGCTTTTTATGCTGAAATTTTGGAAAGGAAGTGTGCTATTTATAGGGAAGTTGAGGGGCTCATATGCAATTTAGGAAAATCAGGGGTGCTAATGGCAATTAATGAAAGACACTAATCTATTCCTACATATAACCACATGGCAGCATAAACACGCACACATTTGGAACACTCATGCACATCACACGACATACACATAACCACATACTAAGCATATTCATAAGACACATGTATATACAATTACATAAAAGAATTTAATTATTATTTCATTATTATATAAAATATCTTCTTAATGTTATCACTAGCAAAACATTTATATTCATTCACATAATAAAATTCATGAACTAAGCCATATTATTCATTTAATCATATTACCTTAATTAATCATTTAATTCGAAAGAAATCAAATTATAGAATCTAATAAACACAAACATGAAATTATTATAAACACTATAATTCACATAATTCATAGGAGTAGAGTCACATAATCATAAGAATAAATTAATTACGAAATCGAAGTTATTAAATCATTTAATCAAACAAGTACACCTAATTCATAAATATCATAATTTATAAAAATCACTTAAATGTGCACTTAGAATGCATTGAAATTACTAACTAATCCAGGAATGTATATTCATCATGATCTCATATAATGCATGTAAGAAATTAAGGTGCATAGCATTTACTAATTAATTCATGAAAGGTAATGTATGTATAGAAATGTGCATAAACGATAATTTATTGAATAAATCCCTATAATATGCTTATGAAAATGTGGGGTGTTACAGCATTAGAAAGCTTTTTCAGCTGGATACTATTCTAGTCTCACGGCAAATATCCAAATTCGGACTCGAACATGGTCAAAATTGGATTCCAAAAGAGATCATGAAAATACGTACTATAGTTGGAGGACATGAATGCGCATCAAGAAACGTGCACAAAAACACTCGATAGAAAAGATACGCACATAAGTAAAAGTACAAAAGTATGCACAAAAGTACTCACGCAAAAGTGCATTCGCAAAAAGGATCATGAAAACACAAACTACAATCCTAGGACATTAATACAAATCAAGAAAACATGCACAAACACACTCGCTCAAATGGACATGCACAAACGTACATATAAAGAACATGCGCAAAAGTGCATTTGCAACAACGTTCTTAAAAACACGAACTACAAACTAGGACTTTAATATGCATCAACAAACAACAGAAGAAAACACTAGATAAAAAAGATACAGTGGAATGTAGAAATAACACTCTACGTTGTTAACGTTTACGTGGATTTTTGTTTTGGATTAACTTATATTTTTGTTTTAATTGGTGGATTTGGTATCTTATAGGTAAAAATCGAAAATTAGGATTCCAGGAAGCAAACATGATCAAAGAGTAAGAAAAGAGTTGCAATTAGGAAAATAAAATCAAATTAGAAGAGAGAATCCCTCAACATCTTTGCTAGTGTCCACGAGGTCGAGCACAACTTTCTCATCCGGACTCCAAATACTTTGGTTCCGGCGGAATTAGAAAGCTATTTCAGCTGGCTACAATTCCTGTATAATTCCAAATTTCCAAATTCGGATTCGAACATGGTCAAAATTGGATTCCAAAAGCGATCATGAAAATACGTACTACAGTTCGAGGACATGAATGCGCATCAAGAAACGTGCACAAAAACCCTCGCTAGAAAAGATATGCACATAAGTAAAAGTACAAAAGAATGCACAAAAGTACTCACGCAAAAGTGCATTCGCAAAAAGGATCATGAAAACACAAACTACAATCCTAGGATATTAATACAAATCAACAAATATGCATCAACAAACAACAGAAGAAAACACTTGACAAAAAAGATACAGTGGAGTATAGAAATAACACTCTACGTTTACGTTTACGTGGATTTTTTTTTTTTTGTATTAACTTATATTTATGTTTTAATTGGTGGATTTGGTATCTTATAGGTACAAATCGAAAATTAGGTTTCCAGGAAGCAAAAATGATCAAAGAGTAAGAAAAGAGTTAAAATTAGGAAAATAAAATCAAATTAGAAGAGAGAATCCCTCAACATCATTGCTAGTGTCCACGAAGTCGAGCATAACTTTCTCATCCGGACTCCAAATACTCTGGTTCCAGCGGAATTAGAAAGCTATTTCAGCTGGCTACAATTCCTGTCGAATGTCAAATATCCAAATACGGACTCGAACATGGTCAAAATTGGATTCCAAAAGCGATCATGAAAATACGTACTACATTTCGAGGACATGAATGCGCATAAAGAAACGTGCACAAAAACACTCGCTAGAAAAGATACGAACATAAGTAAAAGTACAAAAGCATGCACAAAAGTACTAACGCAAAAGTACATTCGCAAAACGGATCATGAAAACACAAACTACAATCGTAGGACATTAATACATATCAACAAACATGCAGAAGCTCACTCGCTCAAATGGACATGCACAAACGTACATGTAAAAAAACATGCGCAAAAGTGCATTCGCAACAACGTTTTTAAAAACACAAACTACAATACTAGGACTTTAATAAGCATCAACAAACAACAACAAAAACACTAGATAAAAAAGATACAGTGGAGTGTAGAAATAACATTCTACATTTACGTTTTCGTGAATTTTTTTTTGGATTAATTTATATATGTGAATTAATTGGTGGATTTGGTATCTTATAGGTATAAATCGAAAATAAGGTGTCCAGGAAGAAAAAATGATCAAAGAGTAAGAAAAGAGTTGCAATTAGGAAAATAAAACAAATTAGAAGAGAGAATCCCTCAACATCTTTGCTTGTGTCCACGAAGTCGAGCATAACTTTCTCATCCGGACTCCAAATACTCTGGTTCCGGCGGAATTAGAAAGCTATTTCAGCTGGCTAAAATTCCTGTCTAATGGCAAATTTCCAAATGCGGACTAGAACATGGTCAAAATTGGATTCCAAAAGAGATCATGAAAATACGTACTATAGTTCGAGGACATGAATGCGCATCAATAAACGTGCACAAGAACACACGCTAGAAAAGATACGCACATAAGTAAAAGTACAAAAGCATGCACAAAATTAC